TCCAGGTGACCACCTTCCATAAGGTTTATTAATGGAGAAAACAACTGTTCCTGCAAATCGTGGATATCGTAAAGCATCTGGAAGGCAACTAATATATGTATGTGTAATTATTACTTTGTCAAAGACGATTTCCACATTTTATCAAAATTGGCAGTTACGCAATAAGCACAATTTGCAAAACGGTACACTTTTTCCAAAAAAGTTTGTGTATAAATGAAACCAAGAAGTAATCACTTTGTGCATGCCTTTGTGTGTATGAAAATTTGCTGAAAACTCGAAAAGAACACTACACAGATTTTACATACACTGTGCCATTTAAATTTAAAATTGTTCTTCTCATTGTTCTACTCACTCTTTAGCATTCCATTTTATGTGTATTTATGTATATGTATGAAATATATAAAATTTAAAATCATTTTAGCCTCAACTAAGTCGCCAATGAAATTTGCCTTTTGTTTACTTAAACGTAACTAACAATTCACTATACTGAACCACTAGCCAGAATCACTTTTCAAAATCGACATTCAAACGTTAAGCTCATTTTTCTTTTTTTTGCTTTCTCTCATTTCAGAGGGCTTATCAATATTACTATAATTATTAAAAAGACAATATTCCCCATTAATTTCACAAATGAATTGTTATAATATCCAAAAATCTAGTTCCTAATAATCTGTATACAAACTCATATTAAACAAAAAAAAAAAATACAATGTTTTCAATGTATAATCGGACTTTTCTAATAAAAGGCGAATTTCATTGCCTACGCATTACAAACAATTTCTCTACATTACTCTCATTTTCCACGTAATTTACTCACAAAACCTTTCTCGCATCATTTCTCTTTAATACTTTACCAAAACAACAAAACCATAACAACCTTATAGCAAAACAAGGAGGGCTCTAACCTGTCCGGGCTACAACCCATGATTTCTGGTCGCCGCTTGCTCGTGAAAATTGTCAAGGGTGAGGGTCTCGCCGACGCCAAGGATCCCTATGTGGTGGTGGAGATGGACGAACCGGCACAAAAAAATCAAACTGGTGTGCGTCAGGGCACTACGCCCTATTGGGATGAACATTTCCTATTGTGAGTCCTTTCAATTTCGTTTCTTTTCATATTTGTAAAATTGACATTCTCTACCGCTAGCGAATTGTCGCCTCACTCGGCCGAGATCCTGTTCGAAGTGTACGATCGTGCCGCAAACGAGGAACCGGGTAAATTCCTCGGCTTGGGTTTAGTGGGCATTGATGAGTTGGCCGTTGGGCCTGCATCCACACAAGTGCTGACACTGCAGCCGCGCCCTTACGAGACGCATCCGGTGAGTGGCACCATCACTGTGGACTTTGTGTTCATTGAAGGTGCCGAAATACCCGCTGGACCCAAGCCGTATAAGCTAAAAGAGGCGCTGAAGATTAGCACGCCCATCATTAACGAGCACATGAAGAATGGCGCCGACTTAGCCAATGCTGCGGTACGTGCGCTGCAAGATGGCGCGCTATCCACAACGGGACAGCCCAGTAAGAGTACGCTAATTATACACAGTGTTCAACGGGTGAGTTTTGAAGTTGCGTAAATGATAGCACTCATTTGTAAATATGCACCTGAATGCTAGGGAAGCGGTGGAATGGAGAGTGAGATTTGTTTTAGAGGAGTTTTCGATTGATTTTTTTTTTCAAATATTTTTGATCCGAACCGAAAACCAAACCATTTTTAATAAAGGTTTAATGTGCGGTTCGACAATATTTTCCCACTTTTTAAGTTTTTCTTTTTGTTAAATATGGTAATGCAATGTTTTTTTTCTGTCTGGCCATTTTTTACTAAATATGTATACTATACTGTAAAGGCCAAAAATGGTGATTTTTTGAAATGATTGTATGGGGAACCCCCCAGGGGAGTTCCAGGGGGTGTGCCACTGGCATGGGTGGATCGGCCGTCCAAAGTTAGTGGGGGCGGTCATACATTTGGACTCGATTGGAGCACTCTAAATGGGTCAAAGTGGGATTTTTCAAAATTTGCCCCTACCCAAAAGTTCGACCCAAATTGGGGGACATCAGAATTCGTTTTAGAGGTATGGTTCCTTCGGCAAAGTTTCTTATTTTGATCCCTAGAATACGATTTTCACAGAGCAATGAGCGATTTTTAAATCGACCCGCCCTAATGTATAGCGTATGACATTATATGTATTTTTTTTATTGTTACTGAATAAAAATAACACAAATATGTATGTATATGTTGAAAAGAAACCCCGGTTCAATCCAAAGGTGCTAAAACGGTACGAACCGCTAAATAGAATTGACCAATTTTTCATCCGGTTCATGTCCTTGTTTAAAATGAAATTTTCGGGTTGGCGGATTTCTTTAAACGCAAAAAATAAAAAATAATTGTTTTATTAACTGTATTTGTAGTGAAATTTGCTGAAAGTGCGGTTTAATGTGGCAATAGCAGCGCTTTTTTTCAGTGCATTTTTGCTGACAAGGCACTCAAAAAGCACTTTTGCAAATTTGTAGAAATCAATTGCGGAAATAAAAACTGCAAGGTGTAACTTCGACTGGAAGAACGCAAATTTAATTTTTGCTGCAAGTGCTATCAAGCCAATCGAGTGTTGCAATGGGCCGCTACTGTTAGCTAAAAATGCAAGTTTCTTTCCGTAAATATCTCAACATCACAAAATTTGGGAAGGGTATGTAACTCACTCATAAAAATTTGGTTTAGATCTGATCATTGGATCATGAATAAAATTAACGGTGAAGTCGGTTGTGATTTTTGCTTAAAAATTACTTGTAAGTAAATTTTTCAAATTCATTAATTTTCTATGTGTTGAACGTGGAATCTTTTGCAATCACCTTGTGGTATCAGAAAGTTCGACTTTTGGAAATTAAACTTCCAAAGTTATTTAACATGCAAGGTGTAACCGCAGCTGTAATCACGGAATTCTTGATTTTCACAGACTGCGTTACTAGCATTTGCCACGTCTAATATCTACTTAAGTACTTTTATTTGAAAAAAAAAAAACCTAAGAAAACTCAATAAAAATCAAAGTCTTATTTTCAATTCTCCATTCTCATCGCGAAGTATTCACGAACGCATATCCCGGCTACTTGTTTTCCTAAATACTTTCGTTTGAGTTCTACGAGGTTATCTGCTCATTGCATTATTTTATAAAAGCTAAATTTTGTTTTTTGTTTTTCATGTTGCTCACTCACGTTCGCTCATCGTTACATCATGAATTGCTTTTCATCATGTAAACCATCTCGCAACGTCAAAATATAAATAGAACCAGAACAATTCAAATGCATTTAAGGTAATTTTTATTTAATTTTTCTATGCATATACATTATATATTTATTTACATTTGGTTTCTTCTAACAAAGTTAATTACATATTCGGGCCCCATCCCGTCGGGGTTGTCGCTTCGTTCCTGAAATATTTTGAAACACCGATGAAAAGTTATCGACAATCTGTTCAATTTATTTTTTAATCTTCGTTTCAAACACCAAGTATGTTGCCAAATTGTCGTTTTTATTTCCCTTTTCAACGGCAACGCCAACGGGAAAGGTCCGAATATCACTATTTAACCATTTCCAACTAAGATTCCTTTATTTTTGAGTTGCACTCATTTTTGTGCATTAATTCAATTACATACATAAAGTAATTTAGTATAAAACTTAAGTCTTTATATCTTATTACGTAATATTGTTCTCGTTTTGGCTACTTTTCGAATTGCTTATAATCCAATGACTAAATGCGCTTTCTAACAAAAATTAACCTGCAACATCACTTCCAACCGAAATCTCGCCTGCAACGGNAATATTTATTTACATTTGGTTTCTTCTAACAAAGTTAATTACATATTCGGGCCCAATCCCGTCGGGGTTGTCGCTTCGCTCCTGGCTCCTGGAATAATTTGAAAAGCCGATGAAAAGTTATCGACAATCTGTTCAATTTATTTTTTAATCTTCGTTTCAAACACCAAGTATGATGCCAAATTGTAGTTTTTATTTCCTTTTTAAACGGCAACGCCAACGGGAAAGGCCCGAATATCACTATTTAACCATTTCCAACTAAGATTCCTTTATTTTTGAGTTGCACTCATTTTTGTGCATTAATTCAATTATATACATAAAGTAATTTAGTATAAAACTTAAGTCTTTATATCTTATTACGTAATATTGTTCTCGTTTTGGCTACTTTTCGAATTGCTTATAATCCAATGACTTAATGCGCTTTCTAACAAAAATTAACCTGCAACATCACTTCCAACCGAAATCTCGCCTGCAACGGAAACAGGTTGAGGTTAACAATGAGGGCAGAATCGAAGTCAAGGAATCGCCGCAAGATGAGCTTGACACGGCTGCGTCCCAAGCTTTGGAAAGCCCATTGAACGACAATACAAGCGAATCGTTGCCCACCGCCAATACGACAGCGGACATAGAGCAAATCCATCAGGATATCTCGGTGACGACAGACATAACGGCAAGTCCCACAGATTCGTTTCCAGCAAATGATGGCTACCTGGAGGAGTCGGGGGTGGCATCAGGTAACAGCAGTGCCTTTGTTGCATCCAGAGCGGAGGTGAGTATGCCAAAAATGATTGTTAGTTTGAAGCTTGTTTGAGAATGTTTGCATTTCTTGCGAAAGCGAAATAATATTCTTATTAAACCAAACGTACTAAAAACCAAAAAACTATTTGCGTTTTAAAGTTCATAAAAAAAGAATTCAAGAATCGTAGATACATAGCTTTAAAACGCAGATAAATCTGAATTTACTTGTATTTATGGGAGCTTGTTTATTTCATTCAATAGTTTGGACAACCGAATGCCGCCTCCTCTCCGCAAGGCCACAACGGATACTCACCACATAATGGCAACTCGACTACAAATGGATCCCAGAGTTATGGATATCAGAGCAACAGTCTGCCACGCAATGGCGGCGCCACCAGTACACCATTGAGCGGTGCTGATCTGGACGAACGAGGCCGGAGTAAGAAACGAAATTTCTTTGGAACATTAAAAAAACGTTTAAGTCGATCCAAGACACGCACCCATTCGGCTGATCGTGGCGCTTTGACGCCGTCCCAAAATAATAACGGTACTACCCCAACAGGAACACTTAACGGTGATTCACGTTCATTATCTGTCGATCGTGCTGTAATGTCTAAAAGCAATTCACTTGGTAATTACCATCCATCCACCTATCCAATGCCTTGGTTCTTGGTCTAACACTTGTGTGGACTTAATTTTCATTCACTATGGATTTTTCATAAAGCTTCTTAACCTTATGTTTATAGGTTATAGCTAATTTATGCAAATGTGTGTACGTATATATGTATATCCATTTGTGTGAGTATGGTAACGGCTGAAGAACTAGTTTTAGTATTAATTTTTTCCTTTTGCTTTTTATTTGGCTGTGAAAATTGTGCTTAAATTGTAACTAACCAAAAAACTATTCAGGAAAAAATCTTTGCTAAGCCAATTTTTTGCGCACAAATGAGTGCCCACACTCTCTTGCATGCGATCTTGCATTTGCATATTTTGGGAAATTTGCAACTTTCATTTGCAAAGTAATGTATGTTCCTGTTGTAAATTAATGAAAGTTTACATTGCAACTAAATATGCAAATGTAAGACCAAATGCACAGGATTGTGATTACCCTCATTATCATGTTTTTAAACTAGTGTACTTATGTAGACTCAATGCTTATCCACCTTGTTTTCATCTGAGCCATATATTTATGTATGTAGTCCCATTTTTATAACTTTCGTTTGTTATAGTGCCCCTTTAATGTACTACTAAGCAGTTTTTATTTTGTCTATCTCTGTCTTTTTTCGTCCCATAAACTCTCTATTGTATATTTGTCTATTTCTTTTTTTTTTAAACACACTCCACTTGAACTCTGTTTAACCATTTACTCTGTCACCACTGTTGCCGACAACGTGAACTTACTATGTATGTATGTATGACTAATACGAATCGCACGCATAAACATACATTAACACACATGTAAATCCTTTACACAACATCAACACTGAAACACAAACCCGTAAATATATTTTTTCCCTTAAATATGGGTTCGCGTGATTTTTTTTTAAATTAAATTTTATTGCTTGAATTTTATTTGAAAATATTGTTAATGCTTTCAATTTCGCATAATTGATTCATATTTGTAATTAATTTAATTTTACTCTCTTTTTTAATTTCATATGTTTCCATCTTATGTTTTTGGGCGATTTTAATTTCATACGGCAAAAAAATTCAACAAAAAATCATTTTGGGAATATCTGTACACATTTGGATTCTGAACCTCACCCACCGCTCTGTATTACTACCACTACTTGTGATACTTACCACTATTTTGGTGCAAATAAAAATGACAAAACAAAAAAATTAAATTACTTTGGTGGAAAAATTATTATAACTTTATTTTGGTATCGAAATTGCACGCTTTTGTATAATTTAATTTCAATATTTACTTTTAAAAAACCAATGCCAACTAAAAATACAAATAAATTAAAAATAATGCAACGAAAAACCTCAGGCGCTGGCTCCTCACGACTTGATCACTCAAGGCAATCTTCAATTTCAGAANCCAATGCCAACTAAAAATACAAATAAATTAAAAAAATAATGCAACGAAAAACCTCAGGTCTACGCGCTGGCTCCTCACGACTTGATCACTCAAGGCAATCTTCAATTTCAGAATCGTCCGCAATCTCAGGTTTCTCATCGGCCAGCAACAAAACGTACGTACACGAGGCATCCACACTGGTGCTGGAGACGATTGAGAATGGCGTTAAGCGGTAAGTCAATTGGCCATTTGTGCAGGTCATGAGAAAATGTTAAATTTAGGCACTTGGAAGAACGCTTTCGATGCATCTGCCTTCTCTATATTCTCTGCAGGCATTTTATTGTACCGCTGGCAATTGCACAACGACCCAGGTGGCGTCGCAAGGGCACTAAGCTGCACATCTACAATGACCACACCTTCATCGCCAAGCATTTGAGCGGGTAAGGTGGCAATGGAAATTCAGTTTTATTTCTATTCTTATTTTTATGTATTCACCCAGTGGCGGCCTACAATGCCAAGTCTGCATGAAGTCCATCCCGCGCCGCCCGGGCAAGCAGGGCTACGAGTGCCGGGACTGCAATCTGATCTGCCACAAACAGTGTCACATACGGGCGCCGCAGGCGTGTCCCAATCCTACAGTGCTTTCAATGGAATTGTAAGTAGAAATGGCGAATTAAATGAGTTTCTAGTTTTTTCGTTGACTATGTGAGCTAAATTTTTCAAACCGATTTCTTAGACAAATTTTGAGTATGTAGTTTTATAGCATATATATAGGATTGGAAGGTGGAAAATTTCTGGAATTTTTCCGAGTTCCGTATGAAATTAAAAACATTGATTCTTGTAGTTTTTGCTGTTGAATGATATAGCGATAATTTTTAAATGACACTAAAGAACTAAGTACAACTTTTGCTAAAAAAAATATTTAAAAACCCAGATTAGTGTCAGATATACATACATCTGAGAGATTTTTTTTTTTTAATTTTGGTAAACTTAACACAAACAAATTTGTATTATGTGCGCGGATATTCAAAGAAATCGTTCAAAGCTCCATAGTCAGATTCAATAGTTTTATTTTCTACTAATTTCGATCTTTTTAATTTTCTCTCTTTTTTTCTGAACCACTCGTAAACACGTTATTTTTTAATTTTTCCTATAAAATGCGTTAAAAACAACACAGGACCTCATTTCCGGTACTCACAGAACAAGATATACTCTAGTCAATCTTATAGTTGATTTTGAAAAACCTTTAAGTTTAGTTGTAATCAAACCTTCATTCGAAAATATTTCTACATATTTGGGTTATAAGTTTTTACTTACATGCGAAATTTTTGTTAAAACTAAATTTTTTATTATAAATATTCATAGAATGTGCTATATTCTTTCTGTCGAATTATATAAGAATGGGAAATGGAAATTCGAACATTTCAAATGTGAAATTTTTTAAAAGCTTACGGCATTTACGAAATTGTTTTGAACGCTTTCAACACTTTCATTGCTGCTTTCGTTCAGTTTGTTAGAACACTTCTATATTTTATATTTTGTTGTCTATTTAGTTTTCTGTCACCGTTTCGACTTCTATGCTTCAAATCCAATTAAATGTTTTTTGATATAGATATATATTTTTTTTTCGCAACGCCAAATGTATTAATCTAACAGAATTCATATCAAGCTAAGGATAGTACCTTAAAAGCTTTTTAAAATTTTCATAAATCACTGCTTAGCTTTTTCGCATTTTATCTTACTGATAACAATTTTTCTCAATCCCACTAATAACACTATGCACATTTACTATATCCTCTTACCCCCCAACACAGGATGACGACTTTTAAAAGAAGAGAGATTTGTAACACCANATTAATCTTACCGATAACAATTTTTCTCAATCCCACTAATAACACTATGCACATTTACTATATCCCCTTACCCCCAACACAGGATGACGACTTTTAAAAGAAGAGAGATTTGTAACACCAGCAATTAATTTTACGCTTCACTAATCATGCTACAAAAAGGTTTAAAACAATTTTGTAATTTTTCAATGTTGAAAGCTTTTCACTCGTTATTCTCGCGCAGTGGGAAAAATACTACGGATCATATATGTACTTGTATGTCTTTAGACTAAAATCATAAACAAATACAAAAAAAAAATATTATAAAAGAAAATTAAAAATCTAACGGTTTTTGATACGAAAAGTTATGGATTTCGGTACCTTACTACCGGGTAAGCTATATGCATGCATTAGCGAATTGCTTTTGAACAAAAAAAAAAAATTTTGTGCTTGTATTTCGAATGCTTGGATTGAGAATGAAAAGTTAATTGCAGAAAATAAGCTTANGAAAAGTTATGGATTTCGGTACCTTACTACCGGGTAAGCTATATGCATGCATTTGCGAATTGTTTTTGAAAAAAAAAATAAAAAATTATGTGCTTGTATTTCGAATGCTTGGATTGAGAATGAAAAGTTAATTGCAGAAAATAAGCTTATAATGACGCCATTAAATTCAGCCAATATATGTATTTATATGCATCTTTTTATAGTCTGCGCGCTTTCTTGCTAATAAAACTACAAGTGGGATTTCATTAAATCAAGCCATTCCTCAGCGCCTGCCAACTAACCTCTAATTCATTTTAAAACATTCAAAATGTGATTCGAAAAATGAACGNGCGAAAATATCCGTTAAATTTTTAGTATAACCTTTTAAGTGCTAATAAAACTACAAGTGGGATTTCATTAAATCAAGCGCCTGCCAACCAACCTCTAATTCATTTTAAAACATTCAAAATGTGATTCGAAAAATGAACGTCTGACAATTTTGTATTTTACCGTTTTCTGTGAGTTACGTCCGGTCTCTTATTCGTTTTAATTTCTCTCAATAACTATCGTTCTATGCTTGAAAATACGTAAATCTTAAAACACTTTTATGTGAATTATTTTTTTTATTTCGAATATGTACATACATACTTGTAAATATATTTCGAACACTTTGTGCCTCTGCTGCGTTTATTTTATTCCGTTTACTGTTCTTGAAGTTCTTTTTAAGCAATGTATTTTTTATGAAATCTAAAAATTATTTTTTTTTTTANCCTTAAAACACTTTTATGTGCAATTTTTTTTTTTAATTTCGAATATGTACATACATACTTGTAAATATATTTCGAACACTTTGCGCCTCTGCTGCGTTTATTTTATTCCGTTTGCTGTTATTGAAGTTCTTTTTAAGCATTGTATTTTTTATGAAATCTAAAAATTATTTTTTTTACAAATATACTAATACAAATTCTAATTCTTGTCACAGATCGAAGCTTAACTCTGCCGCTGCTGATCGCAGTATACGAAAATTGTGAAAGTGTTGCTAATGGAAACAAACACATGCACGGAGCAATGCCAGTCACAGCACATCGCGTACAGCGACAGCCAGCAAGAAAGTAGTACCGTATGTGAAGGAAGCAACCCTGACTCGAACCTATTAAAAGAACTCTCAGCAAGTTAATCATTATTTATTGAAGCCGAGTTTTCCTTTTTCTGTTATTGTTTTTTTTTTTACACAATTTTTGTTGTTTTAAGATATTTCAAATACTCGCACACGAAGCAACAGGCTCGAAATTTAAAACATATACAACGGCATCATCAAAAGTAATCAANCACACGAAGCGACAGGCTCGAAATTTAAAACATATACAACGGCATCATCAAAAGTAATCAAATACTGCACACTCTTTGTTAGGTTTCTTCTTTAAAAAATCACCAATTTATCAAGTTTTGTGTGTAAGCCAATTTTTCGAAACGATGACCAGCATTTTATTTTGTATTATATATAATTGCAATACTTATTTTAGATAATATTTAACGATTTGGATTTTTTATAATTGTTTTGTACGTAATTTTGTATCTTAAGTTTTATAAGTTCTATTTCACTGCAGTATCACAGTCTACGTCACAAAAAAACAAAGTTTCCCCAAGTTTAAAACCAACCAAAAAAACAGGAAAATAATTTTAAAAATCAATCAAAATCTTTTGTGTTAAAAATGTATGTATGTCATAAAAAGTATTAGTTTTAAATCTCTTCTACAAAAATAAAACATTGTATCAAATAAGAAAAAGCACAAATAAATGTTCAAAATCCGTATAAGAGAAACTTACGAATTTTAATTAAAATTAAATATTTATATACGTTTCTCTGTTCTAGGTCGTGAATGCAATGTTTTCCCACCCCGTTAGTAGAGATTGGAGATAAATAATTGGAGACTTAAGTTTAACGAAAGAAAAACATGTACCCTGTATTTTAGTTAAAGTCTTAACAGATGGCGCGCAAACATCACCAATCATGAAATACACCCTGTGCACCACAGAGAGCAGTTCAATTTCAGATTTGTTTGTTTTTCTTTTTCGCTGGGAGGGAATTGTAGAATTGGAAATTGGTTAAAATTAGATATATTACAAACCGTTAAGACGACATATAAATACATTTACAATCTGATTATTTCTTTGCTGAAATTCAGTTCAACCCTGCATGAATTTTGCACTACAGCACCCAGTTAACTGTCAAAGTCAGCCCATTGACAGCGCTGTCGCAAAAACGCGAGCAGCGAAGGCAGCAAAGCAGCACAGTGACGTTCATCGTCTCATTTGTCAAAAATTCGTTTCGCTGTTGTCGTCGTCGTCGTCGATTGCTGCGTCGCGTAGCGAGTGGAAAATGTTCAATTTCCAAAATTATTGCAAACATGAAAAATAAATGCAGTGAAATTTAGGATAATCATTACTTTAGTGCATTTGTAAAAAGTGATATGCGATTGCTTGAAAAGTGATAAAAGTAATGCTCAAGAAACAAGAAGTTAAAAACGATTGTGTGGCAGAAGCAGCAGCAGTGCCAGCGACATCGCCCTGTTTTCTCATCCATCTCCTCCGCCATTGTCTACCTTCTCAGCCAGTTTCTGCTACCCAAAAGTCTTCCCACTTCGTAGTTTTTCTACTTTATAATTTTTCGTGTTTTCCAATTGTATATTTGTGCAAAGTGAATTCGTAATTTTTCTTTTATTTCCATACTATATGCATATTAAAATTTATGTTTTACTTTTGCGTGCTTTCTATTTTTTTTTAGTTTGCATTTTAATGTGAGAATAAATAATCGCTTAGAACTTGTAGTATAAAAATCGCGAGATTCGCACCAAATGACTAACTTGCAACTTACAACTAAAGTCTGAAATTTTAGAAGAAACGCATATTCCTTTGTGGAACTCAGACATACAATTTCAATCGTGTCTTCTTTATTCTGCTAGTTTTGGTTCTTAAGGCACCTTCGCCTTTGGTAGGAGTTGTCTGGCAAAATTGAAACCCTGCAAGTTATTCTTGCTATCTTTGGATTTTACACGAATATCGCATATGTAGGTAAAGTGTGTTGTACTAGTTCCGGGATACGTCAAAAGGCCCTATTAAAGCGCCACGTTTTGGGAAAAATATCATGCGGAAAGCTTTGAAACTGTGAATAGTTGGCGAGTATATTCGGGAGTGTCGTGTCACTACATTTAAACCCACTAGCCACTAAGTCGGCCAGTAGACCAGGACGTCGTGTGCTCATTGCATTTGCCAGCAATCCGCTAAATTCCGAAAATTCCCTGGCTTATAAAGACACATGCAACCGAAAATAAAATCAAAACGCATAGTGGGAACTAATTTTGTTTTACGTATTGCGAATTTTCGCACCGGTGACGAGTGACAAGCAGGTGGTGGCTATTCCGATAATAGCCGCGGTCCAAAAACTTTTAGTTTTCCCTTGGCGATGACAGAGCGTTGTCGCGGCGCGTTGTAGACTCTTTCGCTAATTTTTAAGGGTTGGGTTTGAAAGTACAATATTTTCGTAAGCGGCAATAAATTTAATGTTTTCTCGTTTTGTTTTTGAATCCCAATACCCATCACCCCCTGCTGCGCTGAATAATTGCATATAGTGAAATCTTGTGTGTAAAGTTTGGAAAAAATAGCCAAAAAATTTATGTTTATTAAGAAAAGGGCTATCAAATTTAGATAAAATTCAACAAAAAAGCTGTTGTGTACAGAAAAATCCGAATAATAAAATCCTGGAAAGGAAGTAGGTAGTGTAAAAAACTTACTCAAAACTGTCATCAAGTGTTCACATAGTTCCTTAGCTTTGGAGCATCTAAATCAGTTTCTAGATTTTCCTGCAAGGCAACAATATGGCGCACGCCCATCATAATGCCGCCAATCTTCTTAGCTCTGATATTTCACGTCGAAATCCACAAGACGAATACGAGCTCATACAAAAGATCGGCTCGGGCACCTATGGCGATGTCTATAAGGTAAGCTATTGACTCTAACTAATGTACATATGTACATACATACATAGTATGTATGCGCGCAGGTAATGATATACCTATGTAAATGAAATAGACTAGATTAAATATCGATATTTAAGAAATCTGTCACTTTTAGTGTCGTACTAATGGCGAAATATATATATATGTCTACACACACGCGCCGCGGTAACTTTTACCGTAGATCCACGGTAAAAATTACCCTTAGATCTACGGTAAAATTACGTGGATTATGTGTTGCCGGAGAAGTGGGGCAGAACTTCTTTATACGTAGGATTATAACCCTTACTGTGTTGCCGGCGAAGTGGGACCGAACTTCTTTCGGCGTAATTTTTACCGTGGCGCGTGTAAGTATACTCCCACTTATTTAAGGGCAAGACAATTATCGTCGTTTAAAGGACAAAACCACGTATCATGCTTCTGCAAAATCTCGTAACTGTCATTTGTGCCAAAAATGAGATTTTCCACGGGAACCTCCTGACATTAAGCCTTACTTATACATTCATACCAAAATATCGATAATTAAATATAAAAGGTAGATATAATTAGGGATAAAAGAGAGAAAAAATCTGTAGAAATTGTAGACTAACGAATTGCAAATTTCAAGCTGCCAAAAAATCCCCTTAATTTTTAACAACTTTTTTGCTGGCCATTGCCAAATGAAACAAAAATTGTTGAACATACTTTGTATGGGATATCAACGGGATTTTTTTCCAACTTGAAACTTGAATTTGTTATGCTAAAGTTTGAGATTTCGATAAAACTTTGCAGAATTTTTAAAATTTTTGTAGTAAGTTTAAAATATGGATTTACATAGTGTTTGTTGTATAACCAGCTAGACTTTTAAAGAAAAATTAATAAACAAAAGACAAATAGTCAAAAGTGGTCCAAATATCGCACTCTTTTTATTTTGTGGACAACTGTAGATACAAAGAGATGCTCCTAACAAAAAAACTAACGCAGTTATTTAAAAATAAATTGCAATATCTTAAATTTACATTCTTTAATCGTCGACCGTACTTTTAGGAACAATGATTCCCTACTATGTACACAAAACATGGTTTTGATGGTACATTCTTTTCCTTTTCCTTATTTAGCGCTGTAACCTCCTAAGCGATTTTGGCCAAGTTCAACAAATCACGCCCGTCGTTTCCCTTCTGTGCCAACTGACGCCAATTGGAAATGCCGAGTGAAGCCAAGTCCTTCTCGACCTGGTCTTTCCTTCACAGTGGGGGCCTCCCTCTTCCTCTGCTACCACCAGAAGGTTCCGAGTTGAATACCTCGCCGTCGCCAACGCGTAAAGACCCGCAAATCCTGCGCAAAATCTTTCTCTCGAATACTCCAATTTTTGTGAGAGCAAAAAAATATAAAGTACTTACATACATTTTTTGGGCTACTTGGTAAAAGCAATTTGTTTGTCATTAAATAACTTCCTAATAAACTTGCATGTGCGTATTATGCAGCACGGTGTTCAATGTTCCTAACAATAGCAGCAATTCATAAATGTATGCTATAACAGATTACTGAATTCTTCTGCCTGCCATTTTTTCTAAGTTTTCTTAAAACCCCAACTTTTATGAAATATATATACATACATACATAGTTCTGAATCGGTGCTAGGAATATGTGTGTAAATGCATACATACATACATACATAAATAACTACGAGCACGAACGGCTTAGTATCCAAGGTACGTGTTCATGTATGGGGCCTCGAATATTGCTCGTATTCTATTCTATGAAACTAATGAGGGGAACTAAGCATTCACTACAGTCATGCCACTTCAATCGAGCACTATGTATGTATGTATGCATGCATGTACAAAAATGGATCTTCTGAATACTGGCACCCAGTCGCAGTTGCACGAGTATGGTACTTAAACTACTCCATTCTGCATGCTCTACGCATTCCAATGCGATTTTTTAAATTTTCGCTTTCGTTGTCTTGCTAAAATGCTCAGTTTAGATGGGAGTTGTATTAATTCGAATCATCTACGAAAATTCAAGAATTGTTACAAGCATTTATTTTGTTGAAGAGAGCTACAATTGTTTCGATTTTGGTGGCATTTCCTCAATGAACCCGAAAGAAAAGGAAATATCAGTGAAAAAAGTTCTAATTAGTATCGGCTATTGCCGATGCCGATGCTGATTATTTAATAGGCCCGACTCTAATAAAATCAACTAAGATAAAGCTAATTTTAAAGTTGCGGTTAATTTTTAATTTTCACTCTCTCCCCTTCCTGCCTCCATGCCCTCATAATTCAACTTTATTGCTGCTC